CGCAGGAGAGTGTGGAGCTGCTGCGGGACTTCTGGGGGACCCCCCTCTGTGTTACAGGAGCTTTAACCCCGAGCAGGGAGCCCAGCAGAGCACCGCACACAGCTGCGGAAGGACGGTGCCCCGAAACACGTGCAGGGGGCCCCAACCCTGAGCAGGAAGCCCCCACACTGGGCAGGGAGCCCCCACACTGGGCAGGGAGCCCATCTCCCCGGGACAGACACTGCTGAGGAGTAACTTAACGGAAAGAAACTTTTGCACAAGAATCACAGCTATTGGCACAGACTGCCCACGGATCTCACGCTGGATCCCACAGGAATCTTCACCAGCCAACACAGAATGCTGGTTATACTTGCACTTTACTCACAACACTTGTGCCTTACTGAGGACTAACCACCAGATTCCTCCACGGGAGCCTCTGTTGTGCTGAATCTGCCCCGGAGACAATCACAGAGAGTCAAATCCAAAGCCAAGAGAGCCCGTCAAGGGCTCCCCAGCCAGGCGAGCTGGGACACCAGCCAGCTAGAGATGGTGTTTTCATTAGTTAATGCCAATAATTGCCTCAATCAATCAGTATATACCAGAAGAAAAAGCTCCACATCAGTCCGGAAAAGAAAGGCTCTTAAAGCAGTGTTGCTAAGTTCAATTTGAATATTCATTTCAAAGAACTCCCAAGAAATCTACTCTGTTAAGCAAACAAACACCAATTAAAGCATTTTATATAAATATCTCTCTCCCGTCTTTTAACTCAAACTTTGCAGCCAGAACAAAGAGGTGACAAAATTTCCTTTTCCAAATCAAACCCAACTTGAAAAGAAGCACCTAAATAAGATCTTTCTTTGTAGTATTTTCTTCTCTAGTTTTAGAACTGCTTTGTGATGTTCTTATGTTCAGCCTGAGCTGACTGGCTGTGCCTGGCACAGGACGCAGAGCACCGTGCCCGTGGGCAGGGAGCAGAGAGGAGCACCAAGCACAGCCCCTGCCCCGTGCCCGGGGTGCCCACCCTGCCCAGGCCCCTGCCCTCCCCCAGCACTGCTCACCGTGCCAGGGAGGAGCTGGTGCTAAGACACGTGCCCTCCACGGGGCACACAGGGAGCAGGGAAGGGAACGGGACAGGCCCACGCCAGCAGGAGCTGATACCCACAGAACCCACGGACAGCGAGTGCAGAGGGGACCCCGAGTGACAGGAAAAGCAAATGTCACCCCTTTTCTTTGCACACCTCCTTTGTACACCTTCCTCCAGGTACTGAGATTTAGATTTAAGCTGTACACAGGACAGGCACTCAGGGGTGTGACAGCCACATTTCATCAGTAACTTCATCTCCCATCAGCTCGGGAGAGCCCAGTGCCCAGCTCGGGCCGGGCACTGCTGCAGGCACAGCTCCTGGCTCAAGTCCTCGTGCCAAGTCACCCTGCTGGGGGCTTGAACACAGAGAGGAGACACCTCAGGCCACGGGAGTAACAAGCACATCACTGGTTTATAGGTAGGATATGAAACATTTAAAATCCAGATGGTATGAACGTTCTAACTGAAAATACAGAACAAGCTGCTTAGGTTGCTCTCAGAGTCTACAGGTAAATACCTACTCCTGACACATACTCTAAAGCAAATGCTTTTCCCAGTCTCTCAAGTAAAATAAAATGAAAATAAAATAAATACTCATTAGGGAATTTGCACCTGCTGAGTTTCAAGGGAAGGGCTGTTTCAAGGAACAAAAAATGGACACGGGCTACAGATCAGCTCTTCCTACTAGGCTGTTCCTCCAGGAGTTTCACAAAGCATCGAGCTGCTTGCACTGAGCAGCATCAAGTGTTAGGGAACAGTGCTCTGCCAGGTGCAGGTTCAACCCCCAGCAAGACTGATTCAGTCTGACTGCACAACACGGCTGGTTACAGGCAGGCACCTCCTCAGGACTGCGAGGCACAGCCAGAAAACCTGAGATAAATGGCAGGTGAACTGCTGAGATGACACGGGAGCATCACAGCCCCAGGCCAGGAGCACTGTCCCAGGCAGCACGAGACACAAGGACTGCCTGTCAACTGGAGCAAGAGAAAAGCTGAAAGGTGATTTACATCTCAGAAGATCTGTTGCTGGATAGACATTCTCAATTTGGCAAGAATCACTGAATAAGATCACCACCTATTTTCAAATCCAGGTTACAGAAGCCTAGTGCAGTCACTGAGGATCCAGAGCAGCATCCAAGCGTTTCTCTTCGCACTGGGCCCCGCCTAGACCAGGCAGGGAGGTTCTCTTTGGTTCACTGCCTTTGGAGGTGGGGGTTGCTGGTTGGCCACTCACACCAGACAGACAGCATTATGCAGTGCATTCTAGTAGAGATTTTTTCAGCCAAACAGGGAAGTGCCATTGCAAGAGCTGCACAATGACCCCGGACAGCAACAAGTGTCATCACCACGAAAACGCTACCGGAGCGCAGCCCCCGGGGCAGGAGGCAGAGCAGGAGGGAGGGGAAGCACCAGGGGCAGGGGAGGGAGCAGTGAACAGCACTGGGCCCGAGACATCCGCAGCGGTGCTCACCTGCTCCAACACACTGCACAGAGAAACAGCCCCGGGCTCCTGGCACCCAAAAAAGGCAAGAGAATATAAAAAAAAAGCAGGGCATCCTTGGGTTAAAACAAAACAGAACTATTAGCTTTGCAACCAAAGAGTCAAACCTGAAATAAAAGGGCCAGCAGAGTATGGCTTACCCAACACTGATTTTGCATACGGTTTAAAGTTTATTCTTAAAAAACTGTTTCTGAAATTCTCAGTCACAACCAAGTAACTAAATTAAGTCTAACGCTTGTAACTGAAAGATTATGAAAATATTTGTTCTTGTTCAAACCATGTAAAAAATCCTCAATAATACATTGTAATATTTTCTTTTTAAAACTAAATTGGAAGATCAACTCTCAGCAGATTTAAGTGTATTACACACAATATTTTGTGAATTAAGATTTATTGATTTCCATCGTATTTACTTTAAATATGGTTGAAGCTGACTGCAGAAAACGGATGGTGAAATTTAAGTTAAAAGTAAACTAATGGTGAAAGAACATCACCTCTGGCTTCCGTCAACGCCTCGTTTATGGTATTTTATTAATAAGTTCCAGGACTCTCCATCCAGGGCTGTTGGAGGCCTCTCCCAGCAGTGTCCTTAGCTCTGCGCCACTTTCCCGTGCCAGAGGTGAGCGTGCTTTCAAAAATACTGCCACTTCCCCAGCACCGTGTCCTTGATTGCATCAACGTACTGAGTGGGCACCCAATAGACCCAGTAGTAGGAGGCTTCTGTTGGGCCCAGCTGAAATGCCTGCAAAGTCAAAAACGACAGCGTTCACCCTCGGGGCCCAGGGAGCTCTGCCGGGGGCAGGCAGGGCTGAGCCTCCACAGCCAGCCTCCTGGGACACCCACGGCCTCCTGCCACCCCCTGGGCAGCAGCCAGGGACGTCCCCCTCACACACAAGAGTGCAAAGCAGCAGGTGAAATGGCAAGCTCCTTCCCTTCACAGTATCACAGCAGCAGGGAAAAGGCTTGGGCAGCTCTGAGAACGTGAGGGAATTAGTCTGGGGGACTGAATCTGAAGCATAACTCACTCTGAAGAGATGAGCAGGAACTGAGCAAGCTGCTGACTGTGTTTACACAGTCACAGAGTTTTCTACTAAGACATAATGTCCTACTCCAAACACATCTCTGTGTGTGTTGCAGGGGAGGCCCAGGCCTGCCAATAACCTCTATCCCTGCTTCAGGGCAAGAGTTTATTGTAGGATATTTTGAAGAGGACGTTTTCTAACATGGCTGATCAAAAAGAGTCAAATATTTGGACAAAGACTAGACCAGCACCCTCCTGCAGGCAATAATTTGAAGGTATAACGTCGGCCCTTAAGAATGAAACAGGCTTACAAAAGGAGCTTACTTCAACATTAAAAAACAGTTACTGTGCTTTGGAAAGTAAAACCTCAAAAAAACCCCATAGATTAAAAGAAATGCACAAAAATTCAGTAGTATTATCACAGCCCTCTTCTTAAATGTCTTACTTTTCTAGACCAAGCACCAGTTTTTCATTAAAAATATGGGAAAAAATATTACAGCATCAATTCACTTTTTTTTTTTAACTCCAGCAGGGCCTGCTTTCCATATAAATACAAGAGGAACTAGAAACTGAACCACATAAGGGAAGGCATCACCAACGTTCAGAAATGAGGAGCTACACTCTGCGTGTTTTTACTGCTTTAACACTGTCACAAGGCAGAAGATATGAAATAAAGCTTGAGCACTAATGTTTGTGTGAAACCAGCCCAGATTTCCACAGTGCTAGGTGCTCAACAGGCCACCCAGAATGTTCATGCTGTGACAGGGGCCACGTCCACGTCCCCATCTCCCCCCAGACACCAGGCTGGTGTCACCGCCCACCTCCAGCTCGCTGCTTTAAAACCCTCACTCCTGTGCATTGCATGAAGTAATTAGACTGGATATATTAAAGCAGAGATGTCACTTACCATCATGTGATAATCCTCGTGTCCTTCAATAGGTTCACTCACCACATTTTTAATGGATGCCATGGGTAACTTTTCTGTTCTCTCTACATTAAAACCGATCAAAGCGTTATTTTGGGAGATGGGGAAGCAGTGTTTCAGTCACCTCAAATACCACCTGCTACTTCCAAAAGCTCCCCAGGGCGCAGTCTCCTCTCTGGGTGAACTGTGGATGCCTGCTGCTGAGAAGCTGGTCTTCCACTTTACCACAGACCCCACAGCAGGCACGCCAGTAAGTCAGAGGAATCCAAAACTTGATCTCACAGTTGCTCGTATTTTATGTCTCCGCGACACATTAAGCACTTCAGGACCCCGATTCAGGCCTAAACTGAGTGAGAGGGGAAACCTCAGGCTTTATCTAGTGTTCCCCCCCAGGGCCTCCACTGGGACCAGCATGACTACTCGCCATAGTGAAAGCTGCTCCATTCAGGACTGACTACCAAGGGCTATTCTAAGCTCTGCAGAAGTGACAAGGCTGAAAAAGCCAAATGCAGACAGGCTAACCAACACTGAATGAGTGCTCAGCCCTGGTTCTGCTCTGCAGCAGTGCTCAAAAAGCACAGGGAAGGAAATATTAACGAGTAAACAGGGAATAAAACAAAGAGAGAAATTGAAATAAAAGCTGACTACAGTGAGACGACAGAGTAATGTCAGCCAGAGGAAACCAGCTAGAACAGCAAAGCTCATGGTTCATGGCAGACTTTTTGTGTCTCAGTTCTGTCCTCACTTCTCTCCAAAGACTTAACCCCAAGACTCCTCCTTTCAGTTCCAGCCTAAAATTATTTTCTTGGGTATAAGACAGAAAACAACAAGCACTCTACAAAGGAGAAACTGAACTAAAAATTTCCTAGATTTAATTAACTGACTTGTGTGATCCAGAAAAAAAGCACCCACCTAGAAAAGGGACAGGGAGATAGACTCAGTGATGTAAAGACAAACACTCTTCCCCTCAGTGCTCTAAGCTGACTCCAAACTACCCCACTCTGACTCACCATTCATTCACTGAGTAAAATCTTAGTTTGCACTCATTTAGCACCCCGTGGATCAATTACTCTTCCCAGTATCTCAGTGACAGACGACTCCATGTTACCAATGCCTCTACAAAAATGACACAGAGCAACAGAGAAACAGTCCCTGTACCTAACCCAAGGCTCCAAAACATACAGAGTTATCTGGAAAGCACAGACAGGCTGTGGGGGAAGAATCAGTCTCACTCCCTGGGACTACCAAGTGAAAGCCACATCAAGAGCCAGCTGGGTTTGGCCTTGTCCTGACGTGCTGGCATCTGCCCTGAATTTCTTGGAGCAGGAAGGAGTTCCTCCCAATGACAGCCACCAGCAATTACACCCATTCCCTAGAGCACACTGCTGCCACTTTGGAGAAGTAGGGAAACAGGTTACATGAAAAACAGGTGAATACAGGAAGAACCAAATTTCACTGTTCAAAACTACGAGAGAAACGTTAATCCAGAACCCTTCAGAAATACTAAACTTGAAACTTGTCCAGAAGGTGAATGAAGAGGATCAATTACCCAGACACTAAGCATGTATCTAAAACACACCACCAGCAACAAAAACATCTGCCTGCCCTACCTACAGAGGGGAAAAAACCACCAATGTCTCACTCCACCACCTAGCCCAGGAGAGAAATCACTGCAACTGGTCCCAGCAGAGGTTTAAAGCCAGAAAAACCTTCAGTCAGGTCTGTCCTTCAAAGGAAAGGGCAAAAACTTCTGAGACTTCTGCTTACTTTGGAGCTAACACAGCAGCTGGAGGTGCCATCTGAAGCCAGTATTACCATCCAGTTAGGGCACTTTGCTGGGACAGCAGGCAAGCCCTTCTATTCTTCTTGCTGCTCCTGATCAAACTAAAGGAGCAAAGATTCCCTTGGAGCTTATCTGAGATGTTCTCAGCACTCCCTGTTATCACCCCAGCACTCACAGCTCCTCCTGGCACTGCTCAAGGCCGGAAAGTGACTCCCCTGCACAGGGCTCCTGGCAGAGCTCCTGCAGCTGCACAGCCAGGCAACAAGACACCCAACTGACTTGGGTTGCAAGGGCAGATAACACAGAGCTGGCTGCACTCCTCACCCTCCTCCCATCCCCAGGCTCCCTGTCGAGCCTCAGCCAAGCCACTGAGCCTCTGTGTGGGGCTGGCACCAAACCAACGTTTCTGGAGGGCTCCTGAGATGCACCAGAACTGCCACACATCAAAACTTCCATGAGCTAGCAGAGGCAGCAGCAGGCTAATGGAACACCTGAACTGAAGCTTTGCAAGAACAGACATAAAATATCAAGTAATACTCAACGATCTGGGAGAATGGCACTTGGGAAGAGGAAGCAAAACTTCATTCTGCAGTTTTACAATGCCAGGGTTACTCCCTACACACCATCTAGTCACACCAGAAGTTGTTTCTAGGTCACTCAGTTCTCTCATAGCCCAGTCACCAATGGTTCATCTCTGCACTGGATAGTTGCTCACCTTTTGTACCGATCCATAGCTGGTCTTGCTCAAGCTTAAAGGTCAATCTTACTTTCCCTCCAGACTTGTTGTACATGCCAGACAATGGCACTGTTGGCAGGCGCTCCTGTGGAGAGGCAACACAGCAAGTCACAGTGAAGGACCTGAACAGGAGGAGCCACATCCTCTGAACTGTTTAAGCATAAGGACAATCCAGCTTTCCAGTTCTCTGCCAAGATAGCAAAGAACAATTGAACCAGCAAAGAAAGGCCTCAAAACACAACGAAGTCCCCTCTCCCCTGATCATGACAACGTCTGAAGTACTCATTTGCTCACCTGAACACCTTTGACAGAAGGCATCACATCATCAGGTTTTCCTTTATCCAACACTTTTCTGTGTTGCTACAATATAAAAACAGAGATCAGAATTTACAGGAACACCACAGAGCTTTTTGAGCTACGTCCAGCTGCAGCCTTGACCATACCCCAAGGGCACCAAGGACTCTTCACAGTCATTTATCACACAGGAAAGATTAATCTTCAAAGTCAACTGACCAGTCTAAAGAAATTAAACAAATGAATAAAACCCTGACACAATGCAAGGGGTAACATCCCTTCTGGAATATACATCTACATAAACACAACTCTATAAAAGCGCCTTTAAAATGTCAAGTCCCCCTTTGATCTTGTACATGCTGAGCCCATTGCTGGCATCTGGCAGGCCAGTCCTAACAGCCAGGGGTTACAGGCAGTGCAGGGGGTCCCCTCCCCACCCGAGAGCCCATCAGCCCACGACACAGCCACAAACCAGCCCAGGCTAGAGCAGCAGGGGTGAAGAAGCTCACAGCCTGTGAGCTGCTGAGTACCTTTAAACAACAGACCCCACAGTGAAGGTGAGCTGTGATACATCACAGAAACACAAACCCTTTTTCATAGAGGCTGCAGTTCAATGAGGCACTGTTTAATTTTTCATTCAGATTTGTTTTGAGGAAGGTACTTGGCTGGTAACATCTGCAGCTGAAAACCCACTCCCAGCCCCCCAGCACTGCAGCAGTGCTGCTGCAGCACACCTCACTGCACTGCTCTGCCTGCTGCCTCCCAGCAGGGCCAGAGGAGCACTGCACAGCCACGTGCCCTTCACTGGGACAGCTGCAGGAGCTGCTCTCTTGCCAACCATTTTAAAGGCAGGTTTGGGAGATCAAACTCTTTTATACCAACAAAAACTAGTTACTTTCTAGATAGTAATTTAGACTGTGCTTGAGGTAACAGCCATGAGATATTTCTATTATTTACCATTTCTTGTCTGAAATGCCAGGCTGTGCCTGGCACAAGCGACACCCTGCAAGGCCCCAGGCTCTGCTGGGCTGCACGTTCTGCTGCCAGAGCTGCTCTGCACAGAGCCCTCCAGCTGCTGCCCAGCTGTGAGAAAGGAAACCTGTTCTGCCCTGGGGGGGAACCAGACCAAAGGGGAGCACAGAGAGAACCACGCACACCCCACAGCTCCCCACGCCAGCAATTACTGAGACATCAGTAACCTTTTGTCTGCAAAGAGGCTCCTTTTTATTTTCTTCAGCTTTGACCTCCTGTTGTGCAGCTTCTTTTGGCGTATTTACTGCTAAGACATCGTTGATAGTAGAGCCCACAACCATTATTTTCGCCCCGTTGGTGACTTTGATTTCCCGCAGCGTTTTCTCCTCGGGCAGAAGTCCCTTGAACATAACCTTCTGCATGGCGGGCGGCAGGCCTAGGAGGCAAGCACAGGGATTACAGCGCG